TTTGTTGTGTGTCCCAAAATCTCGTACTGTGACCTACGAAAACAAGTGCTTTGGGAGGGTTTCGGCTACGTTGTGGAAAAGCTTACCATCTGCTATTAGAAAGTCAAATACCCTGGCCAAGTTCAAGAGGGACAGCAAAACTCACCTCTTCACGTCTGCATTTTATAATCCTTGCAAAGACGTCATGTAAATACCACCCTTTTATTTGTTTAATTATGTGCACATTGCTTGCTTAAATGTATTAAAGTGATTTTAAGCCTTTGTTTTTTGTTTTCACAATTATAACCATTACTATTATCCATATGTTGTAAAGCGCTTTACAGTAATTTTACAAATTATATAGGGCGCTATATAAATGTTGTATATTATTAAAGATAAATGCTAATAACCTAACTCCCATACCCGTATTCTAGAGTTGCTTCCCATTTCACCACAATGAAACATACTGAAAGACTACAGTTATAGAACGATTCACAGGTGTAAGAGCTGTCAGCAGCTTAACAAACAACCTCACTTTATGATATTCTTATGGCAACGGATTTCCCCCCCTCCCCCCCCTCCACCTTATCTATACACATTTAGATATGACGCTAACATAATCGGGGCAACTCAGAAGAATAACCTTTTTTGTGACACCCTGTGCACTTTTTGTTTTTATATTTATAAGCTTACATGTATATGTACACATATGCCAGTGATATTTGCATTCTTGAAAATAGTCTGGTTGTTTTTTGTATTACTGTACAAATTGGATCTTAAGCTGTATTTTCGAATGTCACGAAGATATGACAACCACAGTGAAGCTGAAAGTTTGCACAAAACGAAATCTGTTTGGTCTCGTTTAAACACGACAATCTACAAAATCTAGATTTCCATACCTGTTGCTCACAACGTGAACACGTTGAACCAATAAACACGCCTACATGCCATGGCGATGTTATAAAAAAAGATAAACACAATAAGAAGTTATAAATAAATAAATATATAAATAAATAGATAAATAAACCATAAGAGAAAAAAACAACAACATTTAAACGGACTAAACCTTTTCAAAATTGTGGCTGGATTAAGATTTGCAACGTTTTTAGATTACATTCTCGCCAGAATATATGGATACTGTCGAACAATGAAATACATTTAAATACCATAATTGGTCAGGTATTTGTTAAGAAAAAACGGATAACCCCGTCAAAGATTAAGGAAGAATATGGACCTCGTGGTCGATAAGTTGAAAAAAAATCAATGAAAAATGAAAAATAAAGAAAAAATAATGCAGGATATAACAGTATGAGGATACGCATATATAGAATACGGATACACATTTACAGAATAAGGATACGCATTTACAGAATAAGGATACGCATTTATAGAATAAGGATACACATAGACATTATGAGAATACGCATATACAGATATAATGAAAAATGAAAAAATACGAAGAAAAATTAAAGCATTACGAAAACAATACCCTGAAGACTCGACAAGGTTTTGTGGACAAACAATGTATATACAATTAATATTGTATGTTTAATAGTATTGAACTTTACATCTAAAGAAATAACACGCAAATAAGCGTATTTAGTATTGATGAATTTCTATTTGCAAACGACCGTAGATTTGTACATTAGTCTGAAACAAAAATCATGAAAAGGAAAACAAACAAATTTAGGGTAAATACACAATTATATAAATACAAAAAATTGATACTCAAACCTCTTCCATACATTTGTTATGACAAAGTACATGACATGAAAGTAAGATCCCATTAATATATTTTCTATTCATAACATTTTTAAAAAAGTAACACTTCGCAAATATTGCTTTCAGAAAAGAGCGAGAATTTGTACTCCAGGTTCCAATGACGTCACGCTTACGCTTGACAACAAAGCCGAGAGCGTCATTTTGAATGGGTCACTCAGACCAACTCTGCCGTTTCCTATTTTCATGTGGTAAAGTTTCCACACAGAAAATATAACAATTGTGAAGTTATGTAAATATTATGATACTTTGCAGAGGCGCATAAAAACAAACGAACTAGAAACTGAAAATCTTCGTCGCGAAAAGAACATTTCAGTGAAGACATTTTTTGTATCTAGAGGATAATTCCTGATGTATCACTGGTAAAATGTTATAAATACGGATAACGTAGAGGTTACTTATTCTTTTTGGTAGATCGTATTTATCCCAGAAGGCTTTCAGGGATGGGGAAGCACAGTGGACAAAATAGTTCTAACGGGATTTTTTAAAAACCCGTTTAGCACCGCTTATGGGTTTTAACAAAAATCCCGTTAGGTTATAATGAAATAGATATCACAACAAATTGTACACGGCATTGTACATACACTTTGAGAAAATGTAATAAGAATGCAAAATAATGCAGGAATTAAACTTAAAATTAGTATTCTACTTGAAATATTATTGATACCCACTTGTAAGTTGCATGGCCATCACGTTAGTTATTCGAAAGTCAAATTTCCAACAAGATATCGAAATGGATTACAGTTGTTTCTCTGTGTACAAAGGGAAGGGAATGGGCTACGCCTTAAGAACTCATGAGAGTTGCGTTAAGTGTTACAAATGTTCCCAGAATATTCATGAAGGGTACGTACCCTGAGCAATATCAAGAAATGCGGATGTGTGAACGTGTATATAATTAATAGATGTATCTTGTTTTGGGAATTAAAATCACGTGTGTCTTGTTTAAGCTGCCTGTTGTGAAACGTAAGTTATTTTTCCGATAATCCTACAGGATTTGTAGAAATAAACTTGATATAAACCTATATCTAACAGGACAGCCGTCAAATTTGATCTTAACTTTTGCCGACACACCATATATTATACACTAGTTTTAGTTTACTAGGATATGACTGTGACATGGTTTTCCAGAAAATATTATTATCTAAATTTAAACACGGTACGTTTAAACGGGGGAATATGAATGTCTTATTTAAACATCCGTATACAAAGCCTCCTTCATTCCCATATCTTCAATATATTTATAATGGAAATGAGTGTTTCCATTTACAAACCAAATATATTTATTAAATATTTTAATTGCAATGGTGAATTTTCTTCACAGTATACATTATTTATATTGAACTATCATGTATGGTTTCCCTCTAACCGTAAACACCCTAAAAGGAAAGAAAACTGCACAAAAACTCCAGTGACTTTTTATACCGATTCTATTCTATGTTTAAGTTGAAAAGGGAGAATTCCACCAATATAGTCATTCGCGTGACAAAGATAACTAGTCTTAATTAAAATAAACCCTAAGACGGATGTAATTATTTGGGGAAATCAAATATCAATTAGACATACTGTCAAATGTCCAGCTTCTGATCATACAACAGATATGAAAGTATATTTAACAATATAATATCGACGTCATTGTATATATTCCTATAGGATCTCATGTTTTTTTTAAATAATTCTAAAATTGCACGGAATAACCTCCAACCTGTAGCATTGAGTTCGTACATGCACAGACAAGCCGATTTATCGGCGCCCACTATACAGCAGGAGTCCCTTTGTGGATCTTATTTGTATAGTATCTATAATTGGAAGACCAGAGTTTATCTACGATTGTCCTTGTGGAGCTTTAAATACAAACTTGTTTAAAGCTCCTATAGTAAATATTCCAATTAGTTCTTTCAGCCTAGTTTTCACGTTCTTGTGAAACGTGTTATGTAACAGAAGGTTGATAATTTTAACAATTAAGTTTAACACGCAATATCCATGTACACTGAATGTTAACCAGTTTTCGAAACACTGTATTTTGAAAATATTTTCTTCGATTCAAAGAAAGTATAAAACAGTGTGTCGTTGTATTTTGTTATTTTTTCCCCATTCAAATCGCCATAGACATATACCATGTCTTTGATAATTTGCTCTCTCGATTAGATCAGTAACCGTACCGGCTACCCGTTATCAGAACATTTCCCGTGTTAGATGTAACAGGTGTCGGATTGAGTTTATTAAACTTCCTGGTTGAAAACGAATACCTAATTTACCTTGACTTTTTTCGCCAGTTACCCGGTTCTTGTCAACAGTAAAGGATAACAGAAAGTGAAGTCAATGCCACATGACCTGTGAGTTAGAACACAGACACAGGGGTGATGTAAAAGCCCGACATATGAAGTTATAGGTATCTTAAAACAGAAATATATGATATATTCCACATATCTCGATCAGAAGTGGTAGTAGATATATTAGGCAAAGGAAAGTCCTTTTATAGCATATCAAGCAGAAGTATTTAATTCACCAGTGTTATCTTCATATTTGTTTAACTCATATCATATCGGGGATATTCCTTTATACGGTTCTATTCTTTTTCTTAATCATAATCTCAGTAATTAACTCTAACAAGTCAGTTAGTTGAAATAATATTTTATTCATATTCAGAAACAAATATAATCGTTTTAGTAATCAAAGATATGGATGACTATCTTTCATAACATCAGATTATTACTAAAATTGAATTATAGCAAAAACCTATTTGTGATAACTGTTATTTTTGTAATATTTCAAAAAATATACAACCTTCTAAATTAGGAAAATATCATAAAAAACAGATAAGTAAATTCCCCTCCCATATACCATTCACAAAAGGCAGTCGATACAATATTTCAGTATTTCTTATATTTGTTAAACGTACACTTCTATGGTGTCATTTTCAAACATGTTGCAGACTGATTGATCATTAAAATAGACGTGATCATCATGAGGTTGAACACGTTCACACAGCTAACTAGAAGTGGCAGTTAACATAGAATATGTTTCTTTGTCCTGATAGTAAAATTAATGCAAAGTACATGTATTTTGTTTGCTTGCAATATTGTCACGAATATATTAAACATCATGTTTTATTTGACGACGATTTCACATTGTGAATGTAGAATGCTTAGAAAACCTTAAATTTATATACTATCTGTCAAGATACAGGAACACAAGATGTTCGTTCTGTCCTTTCTTTCTTGTTTTCGTTGCTCATTGGAATGTCATTTTGTGAAATCCCCTAACTCGAAAACCCCAAACTTAACATTATTATGTACGCCAAGCATCGCCGCTGTCACCAATAGCATGTCCTCTGATGGGTGGTACATGACATAGAAGGATTTGTTGATGTAACTTTGGTCCAGCAAAAGGTCACGACCTCTCTGTCCGTCCCACAATATCTGATGCACTGCGTCACTAAGGCCGTCACAACCCACATATATGTTACCTGACCTGTCAAATGACAAACCTCTTATGCATCCAATATTCCCGATACAATACCGGAATATTTCCGTTCCGTCCATTTTGCAGCACACTACTTTGTTCTCGTGAGGATAACAAAAACGTCCTAGTTCACTACACACGGCTACACATGAGAATAATCCATTCCGAGGAATACGTTTCTGTTCGGTTCCATCCATTGCCAACATGTATACAGAGTTATCTGTACCCAATAGTATGGTATCGTCATGTACAGCGATACCACTGAGGTATGTTGATCTGGATTGAGGTGGAAAGGGACTAGCACTGACGTACTTCAGATCATCACTATTAATGGTGTACTGCTGTATATCTTTATGTGTCATCACTAGCACTACCTTGTGTTTTGCACTGTAAGCTATATCTGCTGGGTAATTTTGCAACTGATGTGTGTTAATCATGTTGTACTCGTTGTCATACTTAACGATTTTACCGTTGTTGTTATCAGCCAGCAGTAAACGGTCATCAGGGAGGTACGTCCCACCAGTAAACCTTGTATCTCTCCACAGTCCCGCATTTGTTACACTCTTTAATTTCCTGGTCGTAGCTGTCATGGAATCAAAACTTCCTACATCCTCCAAAGGACGACTGATGATCAAGGAGTCTAGCATATCAGAGGATGATACTGAATATTCCAACAACGACACATCTGGTTTCTGTTTGAGTATGTTGATGTTTTCCTCTATCCGAGCCAAAGCATTTTGTACAGGTGCAGATGAAGTTTCATTTTCTATGATGTGTCCTACAGAAAGGATAGAGTTCGCGATCTTTAATATTGCATCTTCTGTTTCCAGTTTGACTTTTGTTTCTTTAAAGTCTTTTATCACTGTCTTTGCTTCATGTACATGGGATGTAATTTGGCTCTTCAGTTGTTCCTGTATGACGAATAGATGTCTAGGAGATGCGCGTTCTGTAATTGCCGTCATGACATTGACACAGTTTTTCCAAGTTGAAAATTGCATAATTTTACAATTATCGAGTGTTCATGCCTCAGCCCGACTTCGTAAGGTAAACAGGTCTTTTGTGCATATAAATACCGCTCGTCCTTAATCATGCGACGACTTGTCTGTCGTCCTTTGGTCTCCTTTACCTAGCCTGTGTTCGTTCAGAGATTTTAATACACTGCGACAATTAAAATATTAGCAGCTTAATTTTAAACAATGGACCATTGCTAAGCAAGGTGATCCTAACCTATTTTTTTTCAAAAACCGAATTCCTACTTTATTGTTGTTAAGCATTTAATGACAGTAACTAGTATGACAATTATAGTCTACCTCTGACAAAATACTACTGTTTTATTGAGTGTGTTTTGCAATGGATCAATCATGATAGTGAAATATGTAGGTCTAGTGACACAACCATCGCAAATAAATGCCCTTAATGTCTTGTAAGAAACATTTGTTGTATGTTATGTATGTAATTGTAATGTCTTGTTTACATTACCAATTTGTATAGAGTTACATTGTTATCATGTAAGATAGAGCTAAACATTGTGATATGGGGGCTGACATAACTACTCGATAATTTTGTCACTATATATCATAACGATACATGTATATCTTGTCTAGTGGAGTATACCCACATTGCAATGTATTGTATTATAATGTTGAAATTGCAGTGCAGTGTTTAGTGTTGATAACTACACACTTATAACCATGTCTAATTGGACTAGACATGAGGAGGCGAGGTCTAATATAGTTGCGCGATACTATGATTACCTTCTATATAAAGGTACGTCTGGTGGGTGTGTCAAACGTATATGTTGTTATTGACAGGCGCTGTATAAAGGAGAACGACAAAGCCATAGGGGGGTTTAGATTAAGCATGGTATATGCTATGTGATATATATAATAAAAGACCCTTATGTTTATGTATCTTTGTTAAAAAATTGTAGTACTTTATCAGTTGTGTTGGTACCATTTTTGTATTAACAACTGCTACCTCACAACCATCCTTGGAATCCTGTGGATCTTGCAGTTAATTGTGTTTTTTTTAGGTCAATTGAAACCTCCGTAAACGAGACAACATTTCATATAAATAAATTTCAAACCAATACTCAAACAATTTTGTTTATATTAGCGCTGCAATGTCACTGATATATTATATGTAAACCAATTAAGTAAACTTCATCACGGGTCATTATACTATGAACTCAATGAATAGGAAGTCACGTTTTACTCTCGTTTGGAATTCTAGGACTATTCCACCATGAAACCAAAACGAATCCTGTCTTCAGTCATGCAACAGGTTAATGCTGTAAAGTAAGAAACAAGCTCGCACTAGCGCACTTTCCGGCAAGTCCGTAGCATGAAATGTCGCTATCAGTGTCACTCAATTCAAGTAACACGTCAGGAGAAAATCTTTCTTTCGAGTTTCCATAACGAAGTCTACCAGCAATGCTATATCTACTCTTCGTTCCTTTGTGACCGCAACATTCAAATTGTTTCTCTAACTTCAACAAAAACCGATCAGCGACATGTTGTCCGCGACTAGTTTCAAATGTATCGGACATGTCTTTGCGATGTCACGTCTTTAACAAACGCTGTCAGTAATCATAGTGATAAAAAATATTGGTATCTTTTAAATTTAATTTTACGATTATTTTATGCTTAACATATTGTTTTATGATTGTTACAATACAAAAAAATGTCATTGAGTTAGTACTTACTGATATTCAAACATTTTTTACGGTTGTTTTGTCAATGGATTTTATTTGAAAACTTCACTCATAATAAAACGCACGTGCTTTGGGCTGGTCCACAAGTCCAACATTCCAGGTTAGAGGATTTGATGTCGTTTTAGTTTTAAAAAACATAAAGACGTGGAAATGTAAATATAAGCATAAAACTGCTTTCCAATACGGTTCATAGGCATTACCCAATGCATATCAGTGTAATTAAGTGGGTATTCATATTGCCTATGAACCGCACCTGAAAGAAGGTTAACGCCTAAGTATAACGCGGTTCATGTCTTGTTCCTGTCATGCAGTGTGCATTTATATTGCTTTTGGACCACATCTGAAAGTACTTTAATGCTAAATATTGACCAATAATAGTCTGCATAGTTTCGTTGTAAACAGACTTCATGCTGTATACCGGGGCATTTTCGCCGCAGTTTTACTTCGCAGTATTTATCATGCCTTAATACTCTACAACAGTATGCCTTGATGTATTTTGACTATTTGATTCGTTTGGCAAAAAAGGTATGTACCAGAACGTTGATCTTTTATTTGATACGTACAATGTACCTATGTAAGAACGTCGCAATGACACTATGACTGTAACCATGCAACAATGACACTATTCCTGTTACAACGACACAATGACACTGCTACTGTTACAACGACACAATGCCACTACCTATGTAAGAACGTCGCAATGACACTATGACTGTTATCATGACAAAATGACACTATTACTGTTACAACGACACAATGACACTATGACTGTTAACACGACACAATGACACCACTACTGTAACAACGACACAATGATACTAATACTGTCACAACGACACAATGACACTATTACTGTTACCATGACACTATTACTGTTACCATGACACAATGACAATATTACTGTTACCATGCCACAATGACACTATTACTGTTATCATGACACAATGACAATATTACTGTTACCACGACACAATGACAATATTACTGTTACCACGACACAATGACACTACTACTGTAACAACGACACAATGACAGCACTACTGTAATAACGACACTATGACACCAATACTGTAACAACGACACAATGACACTACTACTTAACATATGTAAAATAAGAATATGCCCACTACCCATGACCCTATTACTGTTACCATGACTCAATGACAATATTACTGTTACCACGATACAATGACAATATTACTGTTACCATGCCACAATGACACTATTACTGTTATCATGACACAATGACAATATTACTGTTACCATGCCACAATGACACTATTACTGTTAACATGACACAATGACACTACTACTGTAGCAACGACACAACTACTGTTACTACGAAACAATGACACTATTTCTGTAACAACGACACAATGACACTACTACTTAACATATGTAAAATAAGAATATGCCCACTACCCATGACCCTATTACTGTTACCATGACTCAATGACAATATTACTGTTACCACGATACAATGACAATATTACTGTTACCATTCCACAATGACACTATTACTGTTATCATGACACAATGACAATATTACTGTTACCATTCCACAATGACACTATTACTGTTATCATGACACAATGACATTATTACTGTTACCACGACACAATGGCAATATTACTGTTCCCACGACAGAATGACACTAATACTGTAACAACGACACAATGACAGCACTACTGTAACAACGACACAATGACTGTATTACAATGACACTCCTACTGTAACAACGACACATTGACACTACTGCTGTAACAACGACACAATGATACTACTGTTGTAACAACGAAACAATGACCCTACTACTGTAACAATGACACCATGACACTACTACTGTAACAAGGATACAACACTATTACTGTGACAATGACAGCATGACACTACTACTGTAACAATGATACAACACTATTACTGTAACAATGACACCATTACACTACTACTGTAACAACGACACAATTACACTTCTGCTGTAACAATCACACAATGTCATTACTACTGTCACAAAGACACTTCTACTGTTGCAACTATACAATGATACTAAAACCAACCAGTATGAATATCAAATGCACATGTGGGTTCTATAAAAATAACATTTTCCAAAACTCATAACTAATGTATAACGCTATAAGGACGGGTACGAGTATTAACATGTATACCCTTTATGTAATTTCAGCATTACCGTAGCGAGTCTGTGCATGTGTATACATAGCCCATGACTTAACGTACAGGCACACCTACACATATCACATCGTCTTCAAAGAACGATGGTAATTCTTGGAAAAGGTGGATAAACAATCTTTTGAAGAAATGTGAATATTCTATAGCTTATTGGTAAGTAATTTTATGATACAAACTATTACATATTTATGTTTGACATATGTTTATACTTTGTCTGGATATTAATATCCAATCAACGTGAAAATATTGATAATACAGTGTGTTTAAATCAGGCTTGTATTCGAGAAATAAAGGGGAAAATGGCGTCTTATGTTAAAACCTCAGATAGCAGTGTACAGTAGCGTACGGTGGCCATGGGTGAATTTTTTATATAATGAAAAATGCCCATGTTATATTACATGTATCAAAATTAAAAAAGAAAAATCAGCACTCAAGTTGGCATGACCATGCTGTTTTCGGCATCTCTTTGTCGATCTTTACAATAGAGTACAAAACCAACACTAACATGTCAGCCTGACCACCGTTCTTATTGTGAACCTATCCGATTTTAGTCGCATTTATAGATTATTTGTAGGTTTAAGCTAGGGAAACACGGGGCTCCCCAAAGGGGTAAATAAACGTCCGACTATTCGGTTACTGATTTTGGTTACCGGTTCGTGGTCTTCAGACCGAGTAACCGGTTAACCGGCTAACCTTTGACAACCCATGTTTAAAGATATCGATGTTGTTAAACCCTTCCCCAACACGTAATATCTTCGTTTCTATAGTTCTTCAGAGGTTTTTGCTTGACATCTGCACATCCATTAAATATACCTTTATATTTAATTAACAGAAAATCATTATCATCACAGCGTATATCCGAAGGTGACCGATTCTTACTAGGGACAGAAATTGAAATAACAATGTTTTGAATTCAATCAATTGTTTAATGATAACATATGTTATACGACACAATGACACTACTACTGTAACAGCGACACCATGACACTAATACTGTAACAACGACACGATGACAATATTACTGTAACTACGACACCATGACACTAATACTGTAACAACGAC